AGGTAACTAAAATAACCATACTACTTCCCACTGGGAGAAGCCATGTGTCTCCCAGAAGAGTCTCGAGCAAGGGACATGGAACTGAGATGTTGGACAACGGACTTGGGGAAGGAAAACAGCCTCTTTGATGCTTAAAAAGCCACAGTGTGGCTGGCTATACACTGGATTTTGGGAACGTTGATCCTGGATCCAAATCCTGACTGTGCTGATCTCAGCTAGAAGACCTGAGAGTAACTCGGGAACCCAAGTTGAAGTTCTCACATCAACAATACTACACGACAAGGTGTCTGAGGAAGGCATCAGAGGAAACCCAAAGCACTGTGATGATGGCGGCCCTCCAGTGCGGTTCCACACTGGTCATCCTGGATCCCTGCCCCCTTGTTACAGTCCCCTTGACTCCTACTGCAGGCTAAAACAATCTTCTGTCTACCTAGTTTGGGTTTTAGCATGCAAGTTAATCTGTTGTGCTGAGTTGGTTAAAAAGTGAGCCAGAGGCTTCAGTCACAGAGAAGACAGTTCATGACGTCATTTCCACCCAGCAAACATGCGGCACCATGCTGGACACATGAGAAATATTTATGAGATTCCTTCTAGGACTTAGCCTGTGTTAGCAGTGTAGAGATAACCATCATCACCCTGACTAATGTCACAGGACCACCCAGGGATGATGCCGTACTTCAGTCTCACTGGGTGGGGAGCAGCACAGGGACAATTCAAGAGGCTCTGGGAATTTTGGGCCCATTTCTGCCTGTGCTTCCAAATTCAGTTGCATCTTGACTGGACCCTCACGTCTCAACTGTGGAAGCAGAAATCTGTGTTTGCTAGCATTTTGTGAATCCATACCACCCCTGCCTAGTCTTCATCCATCACTTTACCCTGCCTGCTCACTCTTCTTCATCCAAACACATCAAAGGCAGCCAAAATCCCCTCCCTCCTGGCTCGGCTGGAAGAATTGCTCCATCTCACTTTCCTCACTGGTCCCAGCATGAAAGCTGCTGAAAGGCTTGTTCCTAAATGTGGTGCCTTCTGATTTTATCCGAGGGGATGTGAGAGCCAGTAGGTTCCTGCAACAACCTTGGCTTTGCCTGACATGATCCCTTCCCACTGCTTCCCTGAGGAGGGCTTCAATAATTTATTGCTGCAATTAATTTCTGAAGGCGATGATGGACTTGAAGATGCTTCTCCGGCAGGCTCTGCCAAGTGGACATTACCAGCCACTGGGATTATTTAAGTCGCTTCTTTGGACTCCTCCATAATTAATCATCAAGACACAAAATGCTAATGCTCATAGAAGTCTTAGACACAATAAATTTTGCGATTGAAGCCAAGTTTTATCTAATTTTCCTCCAAGTCCATGTTATCGGACACTACATGGATGCTCTATTTCTGGGAGTGTTTGCATGTGAACACTTCAGGGGGTAACCAGTACCACCTGTGCTCAGCACAAATTGGATGGAAGCTTAGGTCAGTGGTCCTCAACCTTCCTAATGCTACAACCCTTGGATACAGGTGCTCATGTTGTGATCAACCCCAACCACAAAATGATTGCATTACTGCTTCATAACTATAACCGTGCTACTGCCATGAATTGTAGTATAAGTATCTGATAAGCAGGATATCTGATACGTGACCCCTGTGGAAGTCAAACCCGAAGGTTCGACACCCACAGGTTGAGAACTACTGCCTGAGGTGAAAACTAAAGATTTTCACTCCTAAGACCCCAAAGAGTTAGATTTCATAATCTGCATTTTAACTTTTAAGTCACCAAGGCTGTTCAGTAAGTGACAGGCTTATACTCAACTTGAGTGACGTCACAGGTCCCATTTGTGGCCGCCCTGCTTTGTGTCTTCTATTAAGAGACAAAATCTTGGCTCCTGTGATATGAGTCTCATTTTCTCATCTATTAAAAATCACAGATAAGGAGAGAAGTAGCCCAGAGAGACCAAACAATGTGTGTCAAGTTCACAGTTCCTTGATAGTAACAGCAAAGGCTCAATTCTCAACTCTCAAGCTTTGGGAAATGCCAATCCGTCAGGGATCCAAAGAACAGAATTCAAACATGTATGCCAATGAGGTCATCGTGCTACTGATGGAGAGATACATAACATACACTTGTAAAGTAAGAGTGAGAGATAAACTGTCCCTTACCCCAAATTCATAGAGTCAGTTGTTTTCCATTTCACTGTTTGCAGGGTCTTGCTGTGGAGCCCAGCTGCCCCTGAACTCATTCTGCAGCCCTGGCTGGCCTCGAACTTAAGGTCCTCTTTCCTCCACCTCCTGAGTTCTGGGATTACAGACTTGAGCTACGACACCCAGTTCTGATTGACTTTTGCCAAGCTCTTGCATCCACAGCTAAATCACAGCTTCCAGGGTATGACGACATGTGTTTCCTTAGGCACACTCTTTAGAATATAATGCCTATGAGCATTATCCAAGTAGAAGTAGGGTGTGCTCGCTTAACACTGTCTCTAAAACTTTCTTAAGTCTGGACAAGTGGCAAAACAATAAGTCCTCTGATTGTGTAACACTCTCCTTCGTGGAAATACTCCAAGCATGCCAGTCTTTAAGTACTGGAATGCTCATGACCATGGAATTGGAAGAGATGTCATTTCGTAGCATGGGAAATCACCTCAGTGGTACATACAATAACACACGGGAAGCAACGCATGCATTTGTGTTCCTTATCTTTGTTTCGACATGACTTAACTGTACAATTCTATAATCTATTTTTAATGATGTCTAGGCTTACAAAATCCTTGCCCATTTAACAATCAGGTCTTACAGTGTGGTACAAGCCGCTCCTGCACATCTCAAACAGACCTCTAAAACCTCCCCTTCTCCAAGAAGCAGGGCTTCAACTTCATGTAGCACTGTGTCCTCAGATTCTTCAGGGTTTGACCCCAAAAATAGTCAAGTCCAGGTCCGTTGGCTTCCACAACTGTGCTCTGCTCCTTTCCCCAATCGCCTCTCCAGAAACAAGCACCCTGGCTCGAAGTGAGAGCCCTAAATACTGGAGAGGGAAGGCCCAGTCTCTTTGCAGAGAATGCTGATTACAGCACTGGCCACCAGAGGGCAGACATGTCACCTCCCAATGAAACGCCTCCTCATAATTGGAGGGGAAAACCCTCAAAGTAGGCCCGAGGTTCCTCTGGTCTGAAAGACAGTATTGGAGAACACCCGTGGGCTTTGTCAGGAGAATAGCCAAACATCCCCTCTCCAATCTCCCGCTGCACAGCAGAAACAAAGTGTGCGCTTGAAGCTGTGCCTCAAAGGTTTTAATAAATAATTTTTAAAGACAGGAAGTGTGCCTTGACGGACTCTAATCCATTTGTCCCATACCCAGACTCTGACGGAGTATCAGAAATCACCCATTCCTCAGCCCAGCAGTTTGTTTCCTTCCTGCTGGCTGAGCCTACGGTGAACCCCAGGAGCCAAGGCCAGGCTGGGGGTGTGGTTGGCTAAGTAGAATAGTAGAATGCTGCCCTAGCGCGACCTAAGGTCCCGAGTTTGGTCTGTGCACGGCTAAGAAAAACCGATTTTAAAGGTCAGTCTGGAAAAAAAAAATTCCACTCCGAATCTTACCATTTTTTTCATTATTGCAAATACCTGACCTGTTGGGTCTGTATTAAACAAGGTCCCCTGATGGAAAATAAAGAACCTTGCTGGATGTTAGTCCAACTACCACAAAAGCTGACAGCTATGTGGTGAGTTACTTCACCTGCATTTGCTTGCCAATAGGTCACCCAGACCACTTACCTCGTGAAATGTTGATAGCTAAACCAGCAGCGTGGGGAGGCCCCTGGCATGGGTGGTTTGTCAGCATGCATGCCTGCTGCAGCTGACAGAGTGTAGGGGAGTTCAGGCCTTTGGTTTTTCTATGTCACATTGGGCAAAGAAAATTCCTTTGTCTAGAGCGTCACAGGAAAGCCGTGTTCCACCTGCAGCTGATGGCTGTGTGTGCATTCTTACATCTACACTGCCCACCACTGCAATACAACAAAGCCAGCCCAAGCCACAAGCCAAGGCCACAAGTTTGATACCTGTGATTTGTTGCTATTGTTGATAGAATTGCTATTACAGTCTTAAGGGAGGGGAGAGAATACTAAACCACGCTAGAGAAAGACCAACGTTTTAATAGAGACAGGATACACACTCAGAGTGTCAGAAAGATCTGCTGTGTTTACCACAAAAGACCCTCATCATCTTCCTGGAGTGAGAAATGATGTTGCAAGCTTGAGTACCCCATTAAAGCGGCATTACAAGGTATAGGGTGGTGCCCAATGTCAGTGAGAACCCGAGTCAGCACAGCCATCTGCGAAAACAGTATACTATTTCCTCTAGAATCTAAAATTAGAACCAGCCTGCGATTCAGGAATCCCACCTGTAGTATTTATCAAGGGCATTGAAATTAGGCTCTTGAAGAGCTGTCTCCACTCTGAGTCCCTGCAGCATAATCCACAAAGCAAACATGGAAGCAATATGTCTGTGCCCCGCAGCCTGGGTAAAGAGATGGTACACATATATATAGTGGGGCTTTATTCAGCCCCACAAGAAGGAAAGCCTACCATTTGTGAGCACATGGATGGACCTGGGGACATTACGTTAGATGAAATGAGACACATTCAAATGAAACTCTACATGCTGTCACGTAGACGAACCTGAAATAACAAAACACAAGGTAGCAGGAAGTGCAAGGTGGTTTCCAGGAGCCACAAGACAGATGATGAGAGAGTGATGTTCAGTGGTCCTTGAGAGTCACTCTACTCCCGGTGGTGTCTGTTTCCTAGCCTGTGAGATGCTGAATTTCCCCACATCTCAAACTCTTAAGCATGCAATAAGATCCCCAAACTAAACTGTGCAGCACCATGCTGGGCAACTGCTGGGATCCCAGTAAGTATCGTCAATGTCAATCAATACAGGAATAGTTTCCATGGAAGCATATGTAAGCGTATTTGACGATTTTCCACGGAGTTCACTGGTTTTTCCATCTTGTATTTTAGGGTTGAAATGCACAGAGGAGAACAAGGTGAGTGAAAACCTGTTAAAATGCACCTGTTACTCTTGAAAAGCTCAGGCGTGTGGGCACCGGGAAATAAATGCGGCTTAAATGTCACTTGAAAAGTGTGCCCTAGGGTTTCAGTTACCATTTTCACTTCCATTTGTAAACCAAAACATTCATAACCACTGCCTGCCCCAAAACAGTGAATTTAACTCCTGATCCTCTTTCCTTTTGCAGACTCCTGTGCCGCCTCCACGGTAAGACATTTAAAATCATATTTGTGGTAGTGGGGGGATGGTTCAGAGGTTAAGAGCATCGACTGCTCTTACAGAGGAACCAGATTCTATTCCCAGCACCCACCTGGTGGCTCACAACAGCCTGTGACTTTAGTTCCAGGGGACATGTGATGCACAGACAACACATGGTCAAAACACCCATATGCATAAAATAAATTTTTAAGATGTAAATTTTTTGACATAAACTTAAATGATTTGTGCAAGCTCTTGCAAAAGAGAAGCACAAACATTTGGTCTTGGAGAAGCTGGTCTGTGGACAACAGGCAGCAAGCCTCCATTCTTCCACACCACCAGACAGTCCTTCTGCTGTTGGCACACCCCCCCTCCTCCATTTATCTTTCTTTCTTAATACTGATGTTCAAAACAAGTCACTTCCCATTTTTGATACTTACTATTTGTGGTGGGTAATGTGACGTGCCATCGTGCACATGGGGAGGTCAGAGAAAAACGTATGGGAATTAATTCTCTACTTCCACTCTATGGGTCCTGAGAATCAAACATGGGTCCTCAGCTTTAACATTAAGGACCTTTACCTGCTGAGCCATCTCACCAGCTCGAGACCAAACTAATCAAGGTTACATGTAGCAGGCAGGTAGTGTTAACCAGCCTAACGAAAGTCCACAACCTTCTAACTACCATGGCGTTATCCGTCCCCCAAATCCATTTCTAGCAGCAACGTCACTATCCTTGCTGTTCTTTCTTCCCAGAATCTTGCTCCCTAAATAGCAACATGGCATGTTCCTTTTTTTAGCAAAAAATTTGGACAGAGCCTGTTGTAGGTACATCTAGCTGCCCAGACTCATGAGATCAAGACAGGCCCAACGTAGAAATCAGTAGGTCAATAATCAGCCAGAAACTTGAATTTTCATAAGTAAATAGACATATAATCTAAGGACCTACAATGTATGAATATGAGTCCATCTAAGTCTATATGTTTATATATCACATATATTAATGCTGATTATTGCTATGTTTGTAGACACACAGAGGTGGGAGCTGCAGACTGGGCCACCGGGGCTCTGAGTGGGTTGGCGAATGCCTTTGCTCTACTTAGACCAATGTGTCCCTCAGCTAAGCATGTCAATCACTTCATCCTCATTCTTCCCTTGCGTGGAGTGGGGGCTTCTTGAGCCAAGGACTATGTCTATCTTATTTCCTTTTGCATCCCAGCCTACACCAAAATACATGATGCACTTTGTGAATCAGCACATGAATGGAGGAGAAAATGGGTAAAACAGGCTTTTATTGACTTGCAAACATTTTTATGATTTTGGGGGGTAATTTTTGAAACTCAGGTCATCCAGTGTGGAATAAGCAGGGGGTCACTGTTCTCTTTTCCCCAGGCCTCCTGTAGTCCAAATAGGAGGTATATTGAAAAGCCTGTGACACCTGTAGGGATTTGTTGCACACGCTACAGAATGCCAAGAATCAGAGCGTGGTACTCTGGAAGTGTGAGGATGCTAAGACTTGAAGACTTCCAGAATGGTCCAGACTACAGAAAGCATCCTTCACACTTGGGCTTCAAACCCACAGCAGGGGAGGGGAGTCAGGGGGCCTAGAGTGAACTCACTGTCTGAGAAAGGCATGGCTGCTGACCTTACCTATGTGACTCTTCCCACAGGCCCACCATCACCCTCCCCAAGAAGTATCAACCCTTGCCTCCAGCACCACCAGAGATCAGTGCACACTTCTCTCCGAGACATGGCTTTCCAGAAGTCCAGAGGGGTCTCAGGTGAGACCCTTGTCACTGTTGTGGTGAAATGACCAGTAGAAGTGGTGGATAGTGAGGAGGCAATGAGAGACGAGAGAAACCAAACAGATTCCCTCTCTGAATTGCACACCACTGGGGGGTGGGGGAGCGGTGAGGGGGACATGCCTAGAGGGAAAATGAACTTAGGAACCTGTGTTTGACTCATCATCGCAAACACAGCTCCATGCGAAAAGATAAGTCATTGACAAAACTGCTCTCTTAAGACCTGAACGATCATCACAGAGAACAGAAAATGCCAGGAGGAAATCAAGACTCAAAAAAAAAAAAATACACAAACCATAATGGGTCTAGAAAACTCCAGAAGCAATCTAGGACATCCCCCTTGTAGGAGAGCCACTTGTTTGTTCCCGGCTGCTCAGCCCCGAAATAATCACACAGAAACCACATTATTTGCAATACTGTTTGGCCAATAGCATAAACATATTTCTGACTAACTCATATCTTAAATTGATCCATCTCCATTAATCTGTGTATCGCCACAAGGCTGTGGCTTACCGGGTAAAGTTCCAGTGTCTGTCTCTGGTGGGGCTAAATGGCTTCTCACTGACTCCACCTTCTTTCTCCCAGCATTCAGTTTAGTTTTCCCCGCCTAGCTAAGTTTTGCCTTGCTAAAGGCCAAAGCAGTTTCTTTATTCAATGAAAGTAACAAATAGACAGAAGGACCTCCCACACCACCCCCTTGCCAGCTTCCAGACACCAACCTGGAGGACATAACCAAGCTTAAACACACTTCTGCCAAAAACATCACTGCCTTGCTGACAAACAGATTTGCCAGTCCTCTGCCAGCAAGGAGAATGTACCAGCTGACACTAACCACAAATGTTTTGGAAATGTTCTTTCAAGATGGTAGATTTTCAAAAGTCCCTTATTTTGGAAGGGAGGAAGGAGTGCGCCTCTCCTTCCTCTGGCTCGGGAAGAATGAAGTTTTCTCATGGAAGGCTTGAGTCGTTAGGCTGCTAATGCAGGGACAACACTAGGTAGAACTGGTGTCTTGGGAAAACTGAAATTCAAACCATTTTGAGCAACCATGAAAAAACCTTCTGGCTGATTCTAATAGGGACATTAGATGACTACAATTCTCTCCCTTATCCTAAACTGTCCCCTCATCTTTTTTTTCCTTTATAGACCCATAAAACTCCTCAGAGAAGTACCCTGTCTTGGGCTTTTTTTCTTTTCCTCTGTTGTTGTTGTGTTTTTGTTTGTTTGTTTGCTTGCTGTGAAGAAGCACCATAACCATGGAAACTCTTATAAAGTAAAACATTTAACTGGGGTGGCTCACTTACAGGTCAGAGGTTCAGTCCATTATCATCATGGCAGGGAGCATGGCAGTGTGCAGACAGATGAGGTGCTGGACCTGAGAGTCCTATATCTTGCAAACAATAGGAGGTTGACTGTCACACTAACTGAAGCTTGAGAAAAAGACCTCAAAGTCTGCCCCCACAGGGACACGCACACTTCCTCCAACAAAACCACATCTCCTAATTGTTCCACTCCCTCTGGGGGGCATTTTCTTTCAAACCAACACACCCTCTCTTATCTGGACAGTCTGTCCCCATGTCCCTTAGTCTAGCACCTAGGAAAAAACACAGATCTCAGCTGTAACTCCAAAATCCATGGTAGAGATTCTGCTTCTTATGACCCGGCACTGTTTTTTTATAAGCCTGGGGTTTAGAGTCAGGTTGGAGAAAGTGGGGTGCTGGAAGGCAGGCATTGAGGGTCATAGGCTTAGGGCAGCTCTTCTCAACTGTAAGTGAGGTTCTCTTTGCTCTGGATAGGGACAGTCCATGATACTTAGAGAAACTTGGAAGTAGAACCACTCAGAGGAGAGGCAGGGAGGCTGCAGGGCATTTTACAGTGGGCAGCAGAGCCCATCACAAAGGACAGTGGATCGTGCCTTAGGATGTCCAGCAACATACTGTGCAGACCTTTGCTAAAGCTGCGGATGGAAAAAGAAGGGTGCTGTGCGGCCTCCCACACCCCCACAGGCTAGGGTGAGAACTGACTCCATGAAGTGTTCAACAGCACAGATTAAAATTACGGCTGTGAGTCACAGCATGGAATAGGTCTTAGTTTTAATCTATCTGGCCTTGGCATTCTGTCTTCCTATAGTACTCCAAGAGTCTATCAAGGCACATCCGCTCCTAAAGGAAAGAGTAACCATTTTCAGGGTCCACATTTCTTGGCACAGAACCTGACATGAACAGTGGTAGACATTGACTAAGTAAGGAGTTTAGAAGTGACAGCAGCTTCCAAACACATCCGTTGAATTAGCAATTTTTCTGTCCTGTGGTGAAACATCAGGACCAGAAAAGACTTTTTTTCAGCTGTTTATGTTTTGAGATTATAATATTATTATGTCATTTGTCATTTTCCCCTTCCCTTTCCTCCTGCCAAACCCTCTCATGAGCCCCTCCTGGCTCTCTTTCAAATGCATGCTTTATTTTTTATTAGCTGTTGTTACATTCACATATGCACACATATGTAAAATATACTCTGCTAAGTCTGTATATGTTACTTGTTTGTACATGTTTTTCTGAGCTGACCATTTGGTTTTGGACAATCAATTGCTGTGATCTTCCCAGAGGAAGGCTATTTCTCCCACTCAGAATTTCTTAGTTTCCTATAGTTCCTTGGGTAGGGTTGAAGCCACATGGTCTCCACTCATTAACTTTGTCATATCTATTATTGCTGTCCTCATTTAGATTGTACTTAGGAAGTCATGTTGGTGGTACTTTATGGGTGTGACATTACTAGGAGACACAATCTCACAGCAAACTCCCTGGTCCTCTGGATCTTACTGTCTTTCCTATCCCTCTGCCTCATTCATTGTTCCCTGAGCCTTAGGTGTGGGATTTTTCTGTAGATGTGTTATAGACTGGGCTCTGTAATTTTCTGTAATCGTCTCTCTGTTGCAATGAGACATTTCCTTGGTAAAGGGTGAGGATTACAAGTATTTGTGGGCATAAGGACAAATGTTTGGAATGCAGTTAGGGATTGTGCTGATTTAGTAAAATGGCAGTAGCTGGGTTTCCTCCAAGACCCATTACTTCCCTAGTCCTGGGTAATTGACTGAGTTTCTTGTTTAGTGGGCCTTAAGTCCAATTATTTAACTGTTGGTTACCACCAAGATATGCGTGCCATTACCGCACCCCTAGGGTTATTATGCCATGGTGGTCATTGGTGTGGTTTATAGGCAGCATAGCTGGTTGGGACTGTTGGTTGTTTCCCTCTTTTGGAAGCTGCTTACGTGGTTCTTTCTTACACCATGAAAGCTAGTCCTCACGGAGGAGCTATTCAGATCATCAGTTCCTGCTCAAGAGCCCCTGGGCTCTGCATCTGAAGTGCATGGTGTCTTCAGCAGCAGGAACTTCCCTTCCTCCTCTGAGGGTCAACCGAGGGCAATAGCAACAGCCTGTAGTATTTAGGGAACCTCTTCAACAACCCTGAGCAACAACTCAAAATACCACACCTGGTGTTGGGGCTTTTGTTAGATGGTCTTTGGCTCTTGGAGGGAACATTGTCATTCCAGATGAAAAACTTTTATTTAAACTATATGTGAATTTTTATATGCTGACTTACATGCATTGTGGATTTTTTAGGTAGTTACTAGTATTAATCCTTATTACTTTTTTTCAGATACCCTAATTGATATTTTTTACCTTTCTCTCTCCTTCATGCTCTGGTTTCCAATGCATGGGTAACACCCTTGGTTTCTGCAGCTGAAATCAAGTCTTATCAGTCTCTGTGCTGAAGGGCATTGGTCACAGAGCTTTTAGACAGTTTTAACATATTGGATTATTTCATCAAGAATTTTCTGGGGGCTAAAGAGATGGATTAGCAGTTAAGAGCTCATGCCTAAAAGCTTATATGGTTCTTACAGGGGATCCAAGTTCATTTCCCATCACTATATGGTGGCTAGCAATCACCTGTAACTCCAGTTCTGGAGAACCTGATGCCATCTTCTGGCCTCTGGGGGCTTTCTGCACTCATGTGATAAACAGAAATTCATGCAGGCAAAACACAGACACATAAAACAATAATAATCTTTTTAAAAAGAATTTTCTAAATTGAAAATTTTGTGTTTCCAAGTCTGATATTGTCACTTTATTGGGTCCCGTGCCAACCCCTTTTATTTTGGGGGTCCTTGGGAACATAGTTTCTATTTACTTCTTCATTTTTAGATGTCATAAGAATCAGGCAAGATCTTTCCATCACAAACATCTCCAAAGAGCAATTGCATGTGATCTCATTGACTCCTCCCAGCAGAACTGAAAAGGAAGGTTTTCCAAGGCTGAGGAGAACAGGTGCCCAGGCCAGCAGACGGCACACAGTCTCAGTAAATGTCACACCCATAAATCACTGCAGTTCAGAAAGCAAACCAGGTGGGCGCCTTGATGCGGTGCACACAGGCAAAGTCCCAGAGGAGACTGGGGACATGGTCATGAACAAGAGGGTTTTATTACAGGAGAAAGCAATGCTCTCAAGTTCACTTCCGTTTGGACCCCTCCTGAGTAGCCAGGTCACAAGTAAACCACGCGGTCACCGAGTGTAAACAGAGCCCTGGAGCTCTGAGCATCAGCAGGGACTACACAGGATGCTGTGCCTCTCTTCTAACAGCTTCTTTGTAGGCACTTGGAGAAGAGGTACCCAAAGGCAGAGGCTGTGACTCCTGGCGCCTGGATACCAACTGCGGGCAATGAAGTGTGGTCTGCACCATTGCCTTTGCTCCCTCAGGACGGGAGGTGTGGTTCCAGCTATTGTCTTTCAGCCCCTTTTGTCTCTATCAGCTCTGCCCCTCTCTCTTTCACAGCTAAGCCTTGACTTCGGGGAAACAATGCTGGGTGGAAGCCCTCCAGCGAAGGATGCTGTCAGTTAGGGCACCTGTCAACAACCAAACACTAGAGGGGAACTTGGCATTGTGAGGACACTGGCTGGATATTTCCAACGGTTGCTATGAAACTGACAATATCCACACACATTTTTTTTTTTGCTTAACTTATTTTTTTTCCAATTAAAATAATTTTTTTCTCAGAAGAGATACTTACATCCCAACCATAAACAACTGCAATGCAAGCTATTTCAAACCAAAACTTTGGACCCAGAGAAAACTCTGTTACAAAGGAAGACAACGCATGTTGAAGAGGCATCTGGGACTTTCTAATCCACATAGGCAGACCCTTCCCTTGACATAACCTTAAAGAAAACCCAAAGAGGAATAACTTTGTGGCTATGTTTTCACTCTCCTATCCACACACTGAATGGCATCATCCTGAGTAGTAATCAACGTTTTCTGTGTTCTAACTGCACCCAGGCCCCTTGCGGAGTCTTTTTATGTGTGCTCTGGAGATTGAACCAAGCCTTTGCACATGCCCAGAAAGCAACTGTGTGTCTCCAGCCCCTTGGGGAAGCGTCTGTGTGTACGTATTCAGGCACACCATGTGGAAGGCACTATTATTGCATCTCATAACACTGAGGGCACAGAAAAACAGAGCTTGCACCACGGTGTGTCGTTCAAGCTCCAGTGAACTCCATGGGTTGGGGTTTGGGGTGGAGCCAAAACATGATTTAAATGAAGCAGTTCATATTTAGGACATGAAACACCTGGGCGACTGGCTGGGACTTTCCCTTTTCTACTGGGATCACATCTGTTCAAGGAATACAGCTCACCAAAAAGTTTACTATGATAATCTGGGAAGTGAAAGAAATCTTTATAAATATCAAAAAAAGCATGGCTCTTTAAAGAAACGAAAGTGTGGGTTTCAGAGATATACCAACTCCATTTATGACTGGAAACTAAGGATATGAAAGCATAAATTGTTGTTATTATCACCATCATTATATGTGTTTCATTATGTATACATATTATTAATAAATATTACTATGATATGTATGATTACAGTGTTATATCACTATTAGGAGAAACTGGATGGAAAAACTCAGCATCTTTCTGAATCAAGTCAGACCGCACTGGGCATCCTATATCAATCTCAGGATAGACTGAAAACCAAGTGTGACCATCAGAGTGTCCACAGACATTAAGTATTGTCTAAAAAAAATTCTAAACAGATTTATGTATTCTTTTTTTCAGTAGAACTTTCAAAACCCCTCTTCCCTACTGTCTAAATTTGGGGTTCAGAAGGGAAACTTACTTTATCAAGTAGGATGGCAGAGCCCATAAACGACACAAGAGGGATTCTAATCCAATCCATTCAAAGCCAAGGCAAAAACTACAAATCAAGAAAGCCCACCTTTGTAGAAAACAGAAGTATCTTTAAAGTTATACTAAGCACCTGTTATATCAGGGAGACAAATGTGAGAACTTTTTTGTGTAGTTTGGGGCCACTTTCTAATGGACCGGCTCTGGCAACTAGAGCATGGGGAAGTATGTATCCAGATATCAGCGTACCCCACCAGCTCTACACAGAAAGGACTTAGAAAGTTCTGGTGTTCTGCCTGAAAATTCAGTTTACTAACATAAAAGATCCCAAAGCCGACCCATGTCCTGGAGCCCCATTCAACTTGTGAGGTGCATCAGGAATTTATACAGAGAGGACTTTATCTAACCGGAGGACAGTCGCTCCACCTGTCCTACAAATATAGCGGAAGTCAAGCAAGGAAGCATATGGAATCTTAAAGAGCAAGCTTTGCTTATACATTCAGTGAAATCCTCTTAAATATTTGAAAGGCCTTTGTAAATTGAGCATATTTGATTTTCGAATACTGCTCATGCTGACAGTGCAGGTTCAAATCCCAACTTCCCTTCACCCTTTTTGTAGATCTAATAAAGTCAGTATGTAAATATAAAAAAGCCAGGCCTTCTCACACAGTTCACACTCTTCCCAGAGCTGAATGCCATGAGTACTGTGATGTAAATTCTAGAATCACCTCTATAATTTAAGATGGATTTTCTGGGTCTGTGTGTGCACGCGCACACGTGCATGCATGCACACACAACACTTGGATTCAGATTCCTGCAGAAGCCAGAAGAGAGCATCAGATGAGAACTCCTGGAACTGGAGTTACAGGCAGCTGTGAGCCCCCCAAGGCTTGTGGGTGCTGGGAACTGAACTTGAGAGCAGCAAATGCTTTCATTTATTGACTATTGTAGATAATGTAGCTCTGAACTACTATATGCAAGTGTTTGTGCGTGGCTTAAATTTTTTTGGACATAACCCAAGCACACCCCATGTTCCAAAGCCAAGGAGTGGCTTAGATTTGAGACCAGCAGTGAGGTCCGTTGGGCTGCCCGGTGGGGTCAACTCCAAAGGTCTGGATGCACAGCTTCTGTCTGAGATTGGCAAAGCCATCTTAACCTCCCAGCATGCTCTTCTTGTCACTCATACACCCAAGCAGGTGGACAGTACACCTCACCCCACTTCCTCACGTGGCTGGCTCACCAGTCTGGCCACAATGTATCATTCTTACCCACTGGCTGCCACCGATTCTTATTTTCATCTCTTGTTGTTTCATCTAATAATCTTCCAAGAGAAATGCCCTTGTTATTCTGTGAGAACAAATAAAAGTCGGAGGTTTGGAGCCCCGTTCAATTTGTGAGATACATCAGTGATTTATCCTTTGAGGGCTTTATCTAACAAGACAGCCACTTCACCTGTCCTATAAATATAGATGAAATCAAGCAAGAGAGCATATAGAATTTTAGAGAGCAAGATTTGCTTACATACTCAGAGAAATCCACTTAAATATTTGAAATGCTTTTGTAAAGCAAACATACTTGATTTCCGAGTACTGCTCATGCTGGCCGTGCAGGTTCGAATCCCAGAAAGCTGAACTTCCATCGTGCTCAGGAGGTAAAGCGTTTGCAGCCCAGCATGAGGATCTGAGTTCAGATCCCAGTCCCCACCTACAAAGCCAGCCTGCTGTGTCTGCAGGCAAGCAGATTCCCTGTAATCCACAAGCGATCAACCTAGCAGAACCAGTGAGAGACCTGGTTTCAAAAGATAAGGTAAGAGAGTAATGGAGAAAAACACCAGGCTCTGGCCACCACATGTGCAAGCACACACACACACACACGCACACACATACACGCACATGTACATACTCATACCCATACACAAATGAGTACTGGAGGGCTTGTCCACGTATGAAATGTTTGATGTTTGCTCATCCAATAGCCACGCAGTCAGATATCGTATTGAATTTCCTTCTTCCCATTCAGTTTCATGACTTTTTTTCTGTCTTATTCTCTCTTCGTCACCTGCATTCTTTCTTTAACCTTCCTAGGATCTTGGTGCCCCTGACAGCTTTGTATTTAAAGCTCCCTTTCTCAGAGTGAAAACCCGAGAACTTGCTAAGCAGAGGGCTGAGTGAGCTAATGCAACCTGGCGTGGGAGTTCAGGTGTCAGGAAGAAGAGGGGGTGACTCGAGCCCCCCTAAAGTGAGAAACGAGTAGTATATCCATGTGTCTCCTCTCACCAGCTTCCGCACTGACTTAGTGTTTCTCCTTTCCCTTAGAAAACTACAAGAAAAATAGCCTGGTTTCGTTTTATAGGACAGTGATGAATTCACACTGGACTACAGGCTGTTAATTTGGCCATGAAAATGTAATCAGAGGTTTATAAGGTTCAGAATGATTTTATCTTGCTCATGATAAATTACTTTTTATTTAACACTGTATTTCTTTCTTTCTTACTTTCTTTTTTTTTTTTTCCTTGCAGGCAGATCAGCTCTAAAGACGTCTGTGAGGTAAGTAGCTGTTTTGTCTAACAAAGGGGGAATTTTGTGCATTATCTCTGTAAGAAGCAAGATTCTGCTCACTTCAGGCAGCGGGGAGCACAGGGGGCTGCCTACTTGCGCTGTCCTTTCTTACTTGTATTTATTTATTTATTTATTTTGCCTTCCACTAGAACTTGGCATCACCCTAACAACCAGGATTAGCTGAAACACACATTCTTACATTTTGCCAAGATCTTTTCCTGTTTTTGTCTGACCCACCGGGAAGGGTCAAGGCCATGCTGTGGGCACACTAAGCCCCCACCTGGCTGGGTGATGTAGAGAAGGATCTAGTCCAGTAAGTTACCTGCTCTGACTCAAACTTACACGGACCTTCTTGCTCTCCAAGTTGGTGCTTATTGGGTCCCATGTGATCTTCACAAAGCCGTGAACCAGTGGTTTCCAACCTTCCTAATGTTGCGACCCTTCAATACATTCCTTATGTTATGGTGACCCCCCCAATCATAAAATTATTTTTGTTGCTACTTCCTAACTATAACTTTGCTACTATTACAAATCGTAATATAAATATCTGATATGGAACCACAGGGGGTCAAGACCCACACATTGAGAACCACTGCCTAATCAGAGAAAGCATGGGAAGGAGCTGGCTGAGAGAGATTCCCCATTTGACAGAAGATGGGGCATGGATCCCATCATTCTGATCTTCTTCCTATATCTGTGTCTCTGCCTGCAAAAAAAAAAAAAAAAAAAAAAAAAATAGGAGACAGTGAAAATAAGTTTTTTAAAGGTAAAAAAGGAAAAGAAGAAGGGGAGAGGGACATTTGTAGCTCGCTCCACTCTGTTAGTTAACAGAGAAAATAAACAAGTAGAACAAGCTAGAGAGATTCCACTGTGCTTTTCTATTATTTGATTGGAATTGGAGCCCTCAAGCACAACAGTCAGCTGGGATCCAGCAAGATAAAGCAACAGCCGTCCCTGCAGCAGGCTCTCACGGTGTGTACGGGCCTCCTTCCCCTTGCCTTTGACAAGCCTAAGAACTCCTGCCGCGTCAGACCCAGTACTTTGAACTGCTGGAGAATACTCAGTGGGGAAACTTTCTAATCGCTAGTCTAAAATGGACTCATTACCCTTTATACCTGACCTATGGATTAGCTTTGATTTGCTATCCACAATACACATACCCTCATCCCAGAACCCCAGAGATGCTAAGGTCTTTAAAACAAAAAGGCCTTCAGTTAGCTTCAAACAAGACGTAGGATGCCTCTCTAAGCAACTTGCTGCTAAGGGTTTCTTGTCTCCAAAACCAGCATGAATCAAGAGAGCTGGGCTCTAGGTCAGTTACTCTCAGAGTAACTCTGGGAACCTTGTCACAGGCACCACCTTGTAACTTATCTAAAACAGTGATTCTTAATATTTCTAGATTTCACAGACCTTTGAATTTTTGATAAAATGTGTAATAAACTTTCATTATGCCTACAAAAAATATGATTTTATTTATAATCAGATAATTTCTACTTCATAAGTTTCCTAAGCCATATTATGACATTTCCATCCCCCAGGTTAATGGGCATCTTGTCTAGCTGATTCCTTGTGACTTCCCAGAAGAGGCAATGGCTAGAATAGACTTTGGAAGTTATTTGAAGTGAAGTGCTAAGCCCACTATAAAACTCTCTGCTTCTTCAGGGTTTGAGGGTAGAGCCAGGCACAGTGGTATATATCCGCAATCATCCCATCACATAGGGGGCCAAGGCAGGAGGATTTTAAGCTGAGACATAAAATACATACTGGGATCCTGTCTCAAAATTGTGTGTGTGTGTGTGTGTGTGTGTGTGTGTGTGTGTGTGTGTGTGTGTGTGTTCAGAATGCAAGCCCGCCCAATAAGCATGTAGATTCTTCATGACATTCATGTTGATGGAAGTTTCTGTCCCAACCAGTCCCACAACCATTCAGTCCCAAAGAAACACAAAGAGGTTTATAACAATTATAAACTGTTGGATCTATTAGCTCAGGCTTATTATTAACAAGCTCCTACATCTTAAATTAACCTATAATTATCTATGTTTAGCCACGTGACTTGGTACCTTTTCTCTGTGAGGCATCATGCTTCCTCTACATCTGGCTGATGACTACAGACTGAACCTTTCCTCTTCCCAGAATTCTCCTACTCTGGTAGCCCTGCCTATGCTTCCTGCCTAGCTTACTGGCCAAGTAGCACTTTATTAAACCAATATGAGTGACAAATCTTACAGGGTACAAGAACATTATCCCACAGCACTTTTCCTTTTTTCTCTTCACAATAAGAACTCTAAATCTAATCTCCTTTATCTTTTTTCTGACCATTATCAATAACAACTTGTAACCAACATTCTAAACAAAGACAAACATCCATAATCCATTTATTTTGGAAACATGGGCATAGTTTTCTAGGATACTAGGCTGCTGACTGGGAGCACTGATAATATTATGGAGATGCAAAAAAAATGTAGGATTGTAGCCAAGTCCTGACTGGAGTATTGTGTGAGATTTGATTAGCTCGATCAGCAGTCTTGAAGCTGTTCTGGATATAGAACTTAGAGGAAACTTCAACAGAGAAACTCTGAAACATTGGATCATCTGAGCCAGTCATTCCCATTGAAATCTTACTTTTCTTAACCAAGAATGAATCCACAGCCTCTCATTTTCTGTGGAAACTAAATCAAAACCTCTTCTCCAAAGTAACATATCTTTTGACTTAAATTTTGAAGTCAAGGCATTTTCAAAATATATGTTGGATTAATCCTGTAGCATTTATAATCAAATGTCTTTTAGCAGCTGCTATCCTTCACCAGCAGTCAAACAATTAAAAGACAAAATGATAGCATACAGTTTTCAGACTCTCTGTGTATTTTTCATCTTTATGTGGCTTTTTTAAAATTCTATTTCTTTTATTTTTATTTTTAATTTTTGTTCTTTTGAGACAAGATTTCGCTGTTTTCTTTGGCTATCCTGGATCTCACTCTGTAGACCATGCTGGCCTGAAACTGACGGAGATTCACCTGCCTCTGCCTCCCAAGTGCTGGAATTAAAGGCATGTGCCAACACACCTGACTATATTTCTATTTTTAAGGAATTTATCCTTTTTTCTTTTCTCTTCTAAACCTATGTATATTTTTAAACACACTGTTAATCATTTAGATTTTTTTCTTTTTTTTGAATTTGTCTTTGCTGTATATCTCTATCTTTTTCTGATCATGAGTCTTTAGTTTGCTAAGGGACATGACAAGGATTAAAGTCACAGCTTTGGTGATTGGATCCATACCACTCCCTAGCTTTCTGAGAGTCTAGCTTTGTGGCAGAGGTACTGGCAGGAGCCATGCTTTTACCACAGTTCTGTGCAGTTTTTAGGTCCATGCCACCACCAAGAAGTCTGATGCTGGCTATTCATCTGTTTGGTGGCAGAGCCTCTTAAAAGAGTTGTGAGGTTTTTGCTGCTAACACTGGGTCAGGAAGCCTCTCTTAAAGGAGCTGTGCCTCTGCTTGCCTCTAGCAAACAGAGCCCACCTGAGAAAATGCTTCTACCAAGAAGTCATGCTTAACTCTGTTCTTTTATGTCTAGAATTCCTTCCCAATCTCTTTCATGTTTTATGTGGATGCAGTTGTCCCACATTGGTACCATTTGAAAGTTTCTGTTCCACCTGGTTCTGCAGCCATTCAGTCATGAAGAAACACACAGAGGCTTATAACAATTATAAATAAACTGTTTGACCTATTAGCTCAAACTTTTTATTAACTACCTCTTACATATTAAATTAACCTATAATTATTATCTATGTTTAGCCATGTGACTTGGTACCTTTTTTCAGTGAGGCATCTTGCTTTCTCTGCATCTGGCTGATTACTGTAGACTGAGCCTTTCCTCTTCCCAGAATTTTCCTACACTGGTCACCTTGTCTATACTTCCTGCCTGGATACTGGCTAGTCGGTGTTTTATTAAACCAATATGAGTGACAAATCTTTACAGGGTACAAGAGCATTATCCCATAGCACATTCAGGAAGTCGACCACTTTTAATCAGAGAAAGAGAAAGGAAATGTTTGGAAAGAGGAATAGCTGCATCTAGAAACAATAACATATTTCCTGTTCACTTTTTAAAATGAAAATGTCAAAAATGTAAAGTAATTACAACCTCATACGATCTTTCTTATTTCATAGTCTTTCTTCAAACCTGTTTTGTGTGTGTGCATGTGCACACATGTATATGTTTAAAACAAGCCCTAATGCAACCTGTGTATTGTGTATTCTTATTCCAATTTTACATAGATATCTGTTATGTCTGCATAATATTTCAGTAGCCAAGTATAACACCAAAATAAACAATTTCAATGTGTATGTGTGTATGTGTGTGTGTGCATGTACGTGTACATACATGTGTGTGTGGTGTATATGTGTATGCCTGCAAGTCCATGTATGAGTGTTTAGGACCACGTGTGTACATGTGAATACCAGAAAAAGACATCAGATGTCTTCCTCTGTTGCTCTCTGTCTTCGTCCCTTAATATCCCTCTCAAACCCTGAAGTCTGGCTACATTGACTTGCCAAGGCTCCCAGAATTCTCCTATCTCAGATGCCACCTCCTGAATCACTACAGTTACAGGCACGTGTGGCCATGCTCCACTTTTACATAAGTGATAGGGACTGAAACTCAGGTCCTCACACTTGGACAGGAAGCATTCTTAGCCCAAAAGTGGCTCCCCCTGGCCCCTAAATGAGCACTTCTTACTCATCTGAACCTGTAGACTATTTCCAATGTTCTGGTACTGTAAGGAACAATATCATGAACATCCTTGTGTATGTAATGTAGCCAGATTTGGTTTCTTAAAAAATGAGTCTCACCAATCCAGTTGTTGGGATAAGAATATTTTAAAGACTTTGATAACTATGAGTATACAGTTCTCCAGTAGTTAAATGAACTTTTAACACCATTGGCCAACTATATATTTGTTATATCATATACAGAAGATAAACCTTGGTTTTTATGTAATCTTCTTATTTGCAGATCTCCTTAGAAGTCTGTACTAACAAAAATTTTTCCCCAAACTCTAACAAAATTCCCAATACACACAGTTACTTTTCTGTTAAATTTTAAGTTAAATTTTCTATTACCTGAAGTTATTCACCATTATCTTTTTTAATTCAATGCAGGTCCTTGGAGCAGAAGAAGGTAACTGTTTACATTGGTTTTCTTATCCCAAGCTACCACACAAGGTCCTAAGTCTAGGTCTACAAGGTTAGCACTGTGTGGAAAGTAAGGTTTGAAGCCTGGGACCTATAGGGGGCTTGTGTGATGTCATCCAAGATGAATATAGGACTTTGTAGGCTATTCCAACATCCTATTCTTGCAAGTGTTTTATCTTTTTCAATGTAAGAGGGACCTACCCAGGTCTGGGAATTCCAAGTTCCCTGAGAGAAAACTTGTTAGCAACTGACATAACTGTGATACCAAATGAAATCTACATGAATCTTAATGTACTAAGACATCCAGATAACCTTGCAACCAGCTTTGATGTAGTGATGCAACAATGTGGCATTTTTAAGCTCCAGAGGAGCAGATGTTCCGAGTGGCTATTGATGATAAGAAGTGATTTTTATGGATGTGTGATCAATGGGCCTATCACTGACTCAAATGCTATTGCAAGTAATCACAGTCCATTCAATCAGGGGTGTTCAGTCTGTGGTCAACCTTGGGCAGAACACAGAGCAACAAGCCAAATTAAGGCAAGATGGCCAGGGTGTGTGCATGCTTCCATGGCTGTATGTATGGCTCACCATAACTGAAACAGTGGTTTGTGAGTCTCACATCAGAGTAGAATCAAGGTCCCTCATAAGTATCAATGGCTGGTTAAAAATCCATCCATGATGAAAAGCAGGAACAGTAATGCCATGCTAAGGAGGCATGACTGAACTTGGTTATTTTTTCTAGAGATTTCTCTTGCCAAACATTCTCGCCAAAACCAGCTTGGGGGATCGGGGATTTAGTTCACACTTTAAGGCACAGTCTCTCATTGAGGGAAATCAGGGTAGGAAATCAAGGCAGAACCCTGGAGTTGGGAACCAGGAAGAATGCTTCTTGATGGTCCCCTCCTAGGCTTATGCTTAGCTAGTTTTTTCAGACAACCCAGGGACACCTGCCCGGTGGTGGCACTGCCCACAGTGGATTGCACTCACCTACATTAATTAATAATCAAGATAATCCCCAAATAGCATGAATATAGTTTAATCTGATCTAGGCAATTCCTCGATTGAGGCTCTTCCCTTCAGATTACTGAAAGATGTGCAAAATTGACAGTTAAATTTATCTAAGACAATTATCAGAAAGGAAGCATTGAGAAAACAGATCCCTGTTGGTTACCTGCTGACAACTGCTGGCCCACATCAGAACCTTGGGAAATCACCTGCTCTATCACAAGAGGGAATGGGAACGCAGTGGCTTGTGCAGATAGTAGGCTTCCCTAGACATTGCAGCCCCCACAACAGTTCCTTGGCTTAACGCTCTCCACATCAGGATGTCATTCACCAGTCAACCCTCAGAAGCCCCTCATTAACCACACAAGGTCAACCCTGTATCCTAAAGCATACTTTATTTTCTTTATGTCAATCATTCTGTCTAAAACGTTCTTCCTGCTCTACTTGCTTGCCATCTCCTTTAATTTAAAAATTGCATCTCTCTCCCTGACAATAACTCCATATTCTAGCAGAGAACCTACTCCATAAATGTTCTACAGTCTCACTGAACTGTGTGAATCAACCAACAAATGAATGAGTGTATGGACGTATGAGAAAGCCAAAGTTTTTCTTAAAACTAATTCATCTGTAATAACCCCTGAAATGCCTTCTGATGAAATAGTCTGTATGACTGAAAAAATCCAGTCATATGTTCTCTAGGCTGTAAACAATCCATGCAATTTTATAGCCTCCAGAAGGTAGTGCTCCTGGGGGGGCAGGGGGCGGCAGGACTGTAGACTATATGAGTTTATGGTTTCTAAAAGCTCCCTAATGATAATGTGAGGACTTAAATTATAGCCATCCCAGTGTTCTCCTGGAAGCCCTCAATTATATTCACTGTGTAGTCTAACCCAGTATGTCATACTTTCCAGGATCTTATCACCAGGAAAAGCCAGGACCTTCTCATCCATCACAAAACCAAACCACAGAGAAGAGCCCACCAGCCATCACCAGGTAAGGAGGCAGGAATATCTGTTAGTCTCATGTCAGCAGACATGCGTCCTCTTAGATCTTACACAGTGACTCACAAGACTTCCGAGAACAGGAAATGTTAGCCTTTCTACTCTGCAGCCCGGTGACAGACAGGTCTCAAGGAAAACAGGGACATCTCCATCTGCCACAGAATCTAATAATGTCTGCCTGCTATTTATAAATGATTGGCTAGATATTCAAAGCTAGGACATTTGGTACTTTTGCAACTCTCAGGAATCTATGATACTAAGACTCCTAGCTGAGAAAAACACAAGGCCCAGGCTGAGGGGAGAGGCTCTTCCTCAAAGGACTGGAGAAGAGTGAACCTGGATGGGATGGATGCTCATCAATTTTGCAGGAAAAACGGGTCATCTCCAGCTGATCTCAGTTCACAACTGCATCAAAGTCCACAGACACATTTGATCAGCGCTGTGTAGGTGAGCAGGTGTTGAGAATGTTACTTCTGATGATGTAATCATGATCAATTGATTGTGACATCAGCACCTTCACTAAGGAGTTGGAGAATCGAGGGTGATTCCTTGATCAAGGTCACTTGATAAAAATTAGCAGTGGCTTTCTCAAAATTAGCGCTAACTTTTGTGAAGTTCAGACTCTGAGTTGCCTCTGTGAGACTCTGGCTAATGGCTGTGACCTCAGTTCCTGACCTTACACACTAGATCCTAAGCAGATACTCCCTGGCCCCCACATTATCCCTCTCAGAAAGGACATATGCACGTCTATTCTTCTGACTACTTCCCCCACAGTTACTTCTCTCCTATGTGAAAACACCTCCATCCATTACACCCAAGGTTAGAGCCACACTGAATCTAGGACATTGTTTCATTCATTCCTCAGATGGCAAAAATGAAGTCCAGGGAGACTGGCTTCCTTGACCTCTGAAGTTAAGGGCAACTCCAGAGCCCCTGCTGCCATAGCAACTTGATTCTAACAACGCTGACCAATAGTCTTGGCTCTCCTTGCGCATGCCCATAGTTGAGATGCTGCCTTGATTAATAATGTTTACTGGAAATGTCCACATTAGTGAATGAAGGGAAAGGCTGTGAAGTAGGAGCGACTGGATTCAGACCTGACAGATGTCACCACCGGTGAGCAATGAATTTGGATGGTGTTGGTGTCCAAGCTTAAAACAGAGTCAGGAACATAGCAAGAGCCTAGTAAATGACTGTTCTCTGTATGATTGCCAGGCTGTGAACCTCGGAGCACCATAAGCCCCCAATTCCCTTCTCCTGCCTCATTTTCTTAATGTGTCCTGTTTTGTACCTTCAGTAAGCTCTCATTCTTTGACCTACAGAGATTAGGACCATTGCTTTGTAGCTCTTAGGAGGCTGTGTGCTACATAAGTCTCTATCTGACCAAATAGCCTTTCTTACACCAATTTTCTAATAGGAGGGTAAATCACCCCTGAGAGAAGAGAATGAGCTATTCCATCTGGCCTGTACCTGTGGTAGTTCTTTGATGTGGTTTCAGCTTATTTGTTTGTTTGATTTGTTACACAAAGTCTAATTTTAATTGTTCTCTTAATTAGCTACCTCTCCTAAGTCTCTTTCTTGGACTTATCTCCCAGAATAGTCCTAAATGAGGGTGGTACCTGAGTTCATCTTACCAGCCCCTTCCTGCCACTGAAGGCAGGAATCTCATTCATCTCAGGGTCAAGTGTCCTCCCCATGTCAATGATTCCCAAGTCCCTTTCTCCTGACCAAACTCCTCTCCTTGACTCCAGACCTGTGCATCCAATTGTTCAATAGGCCCTTCCCTTAGAGAGGTTCCAGACACCACAAAACAATTGTGTTGAAATCTGCTCTTATTTCCAATACCACTCCCAAACTTTCCCACTCGTGCTGAGGGGAACCCTTTTCTAACCCAAAATTCTATCTTCAAAACTTGTCTTGAATATACCCATTTCTCCTCCCAGCTCTTTGCATAGACCAGCCCCTATAACTCTTGACTGGATTACTGCAATTACCTTCTATTGACATCAAGAGCATCCATCCCACCCCATCCCATCCCTACGGGATTTCTTCTGGGCTCTTGCAGAATAAACCACGGTTTCTCCTCTTTGAGCCTTCCCACCTCTCTGGAACATGCTTCCCCATCCTTTACAATCTGAGCAATTCCTCATGTGTGATCTCTCACACCACAGCAGCTGACACTGTATACTTCCCTGAGATATCTCTGTCAGGTCCACTAGGATTCTCCACAGCCACGTCTTCCCTGCATAAACTGCTCCCCACTAAAGCAGGAACCGGGTCTCTCCTTCATTTCATAGTCCCCCAAATACATGCTCCTTCCAAAGTGCTCGACATCCTTGTTGGCTTTAGTTGTTTTAGAATTTCGTGTCTATCCTTACGAACGATGCCCTTGGCACCTAAAAGGTTCTGGAAGGGCACTCCATCTCGTTTAGCATTCCCCACAAATTCTTTAAAACCTGAGAGAAGGTTTGTGACTCTTTTTCCTCAGTCATTTAACAGAAACGATACATTGGCTCCTTGTGAGGGGACACCAGTTTTAACAGTCAAGAGCTTGGATGTCAGAAGTGTAATCAGAACCACTGTCTGGTTCTCAGATGACCTGCAAGCATTTTCAATTATAAAGCCAGCTGTAAGGTCCTTGGGCTTTTGTGGGGGCAACAAAAAGCAGACACGCCCTCAGTTGATCTCACTGGTGCTAGGAAAAGGTCAGGTTGCTTTTAATTAGACTAGAGGCTTCCGCCCATAGCACAGTCCTTGAGATACAGCATGGCTCATGTAATTAGATGGCATTCTGTTAGCACCTGGAGCTTACACTGACGTTGACGGGAACACAAAGTGAAATAGAAAGCTGGAGTAAGGTGCAAAGTGCAGATGTGAGAGAGCGGTCCTGGCCACACCACTTTTGTGGATAGAAGCGCATATTGCTGTTTTGATTGCCTTGTGTTATATCTTCATAATCCCCTTTCGTGTCGAATTCCTTGGGATCCCCAGCATTAGTTTCTCATCCAGCTCACATTTTCAAATGGTGGGAATTTCTATGCTTCTCTTCCTAGCTATAGCTGACTCTCGCTGGTAGACAGTCTATAGAATTTGAGCCCCACAAAGGGAGGAGCTTAGTCCTGCTGCAACTTGATATGCCATGCTTTGTTTATCATCCATGGGAGGCCTGCCCCTTTCTGAACAGGAACAGAGAAGTGGATGGGGAAGGGGCAGAGGGGAGGCAGGGGGAGGAAATGGGAGGAAAGGAGGGAAGAGAAACTGGTCAAGATGTAAAATAAATTAAAAATAATTAATAAAAAAATTAAAAAAGAAAGAATATGAGCCCCAAACACATGGATGTTAGTAGCTACAAGACAAGGTCAAACTTAACAAAGCCAAGAGTGATCACATGGTCTCATAGAGATGACAAAGGAAAACAGTATTCCACAAGTCCCTTAGTTCCATGTCTAACACTTGCCAGACTTGAGAGAGGAGAGGAAAAGTCAACCACTGCTGTTTTAGAAAACTGGCAATTCTTTAAGCGGGTTCAGTAAAATATGCTTGCTTTATAAATGTCACCTTGAGACGTTGTCATTAACTTTGCCCGTACGTGGGATTTTGTCTGTCACATGAATGCTAACACACCAATTCTGACATTTTCTTTAGCTCTTCCTACGTGCCAGCGAAGCACAGTGTACACGTCAGAGGTAAGGGCACTGTCAGTAAGAACCGTGATATAAATAGGTAAGCCAGCACTCTTCGAGAGTCAAGCACAGGGACTCGATGCTTGGGACCTGGAGCCCCTGGGCTGATGTGTACAGTCGGGATTGTCTCATTCTCACTGATTATTAGTGTTCCATTTGTGTTAAAGCCATATAATAACTAATTGTTCTTTGACGTCATAATGAAATAATCCTCTTATAAGCGTTATGGTTGGAAACCTTAGTAGTGACATCATTCCAGAAGTGCTATAGGCGCAACTCTTTCTGGGAGAGAAATCTCCGGCTCTCAATCCGTGTATCTGTGTGTGTCGTTGCAAAGTAGTCATAGCGGTTAGTTATTAAACTGATAAGAACACACTGCAGCAGTCTTCTGACGGGGGATGGATTCATCCATCAGTCACCAATGGTTCATGAGCACAGTGTGCTCTCCATCGTCTCTAATAGCTGTAGACAATTTTCCCCCAACACACTGGGTGCAATGGAGATTTATCTTAAGAAATGGGCCCAATGTATTGATACATTAATTCAAACTAAACTATAGAGAAGTCCGGTAAATAAGATCATACGTGTGTGTGTGTTATACATATAAAAGAAAGAAGATTCAGAAATGTCTTATGATACACCAAGACAGTAACAATATTTCTCTTCAGAGTTGGAAGTGTGGATAGTTTTTTTTTTTTTTTTGCATGCTTGTATTTAGTCTTGTTTTGCTCTGTTTTCTTTTGGAAAACATACATACGGCTTTTTCCCTGTAAAGTTAATTTTTAATTATGTACAAATATAAATTAAAATCTTCTGATAAGTACTAACATAATGCCTGGTTTTAAATGGGGTACTGTAAGTGGCAACAGAGGAATGTAAGGTTGTCTCTCTGGTAATACTAACCACGCTCACAAGTTAGCATCCATGGGCTGACGGCAAGGCTCAGAGTTTGGGCTGAGACACATAGCTCCATAAGAATTTTAAAACATTAGAAAGTGTTCACAGCAGTTCACTTTTACCCCAAAACCATTTTTATCAGGCTGTTTTGCCTCTTGGGGTGTCAACTATCCACCCCCAAAACTTTTCTGCTGACCTTCCGCCAGTCTCTTCATTGCTGTTACCCTTCCTCTTCCAGGCTCCGTAAGAGTGATCAGCCTCAAATATGAAGCTTCGTGTAGGAAGCTCTGGGGGCTTAGCTGCTTTCACTTGGCGGGAGGAAAGCCATGATGTGATGGGATCCAGACAGCATGCTCAGAGCTGCTCATTTATCCATTCATCATCCCACACAGAGCCGAGCCAGCGGTACTCAGAAGAAAATAGTGTGGCAATTTTGCTGTTTCATTTCACTAGATCTGTGAACAGACTACAAATGCATAATTATTTCCAAATGCTCTTTTTAAAAATAGGACCTTTTAAATATTTAAGCAAGGCATATGGGTTGAACGATAATGAATCAGTTGCCATAATATCATAAAAATTTCATAGTCTCTGAATTCTATAGGGCACAAAGCACAAGCTGAGTAATAAGAAATGCTGATAATGCTGATTTTCCCTCTCAAATTTGTTCTTCCTGCTTCGAGCCATGAAATAAAGATGGCCGCTGCCATTTAAATAATACGCCCCCTGCATTCTGCTCTAGGATAACTTATAAGAAAGTTTTTAAGCCAATGTTTTTCTCACAAATACAGGTCTGTAGGCTTGCCTTGAGGACTGCAGGGCATGTGGTCCCCATCTTTTACATGTGATTCCTTGGTGCCCGTAGACTGTGTCTATGTGATCACATACTGCTAGGTTTTTAAGTCAGCTTAGGTCTGACTTTTAAGTGTTTGTTCTGTTTCCATGCTTGTCTCCCTCCATGTTTGATGCTTGCTGTGACTGTTGAAATTTAGGCCTGCTTTTGTATTATTTTGTGACTCTTGGCTGCTCAACTTTTCACTAACATTTTGGTTTTCTTCCTGCTTGTGCTAGATTCATCTCTGCTTTAATTCCCATGTTTCCTCGTTGTCTGGGAGGTATATTTTTCAAAATTATTCTGCTCTTGGTTACTCAACATTTTAAATAAAGAGATCTTTAAAATAGCAGAAAGTCACATTTTCTTTCCAAACAGCACCAAAAAGTAAAACTAGTTTAGCAGTATATATTCTATATCATTTCAAGGGTAAGTTTTGTTATTTATCAACTGAAATTTTAGGAGGGAAACCTTTAGCTTTCTTCTTGTTCTTAAGATCATAAATTAGTAGGTGAAATTAACTTAGTATTATAAATGCATTTAGATTCTAGGTGATCAATCTTCTTCTTAGAACTTGGTAGTCCGAGCTTCTCAGTAGGAGAACTGCAAATGCAAGGCTTTCCTGGATTACAGAGTGAGTTCATGGCCAACCTATGCAACTCAATAAGGCCCTGTTTCAGAAAAAAAGAAAAAGTAAGGGAACTAAAGAGTGTTCTATAGTATTCTAGGGACATTTCCTAGAGATTAATCATTTGCTTAGCATGCACAAAGCCCTGGGTACAAGTCCCATTTAAAACACGCACACACACACACACACACACACACACACACACAAACACACACACACATTCTTAGGCTCAATAAAAACCATCATCACTGGCACAATTAAAATAAAACTTTCAAGATATCAGGAATATGTTTTGTTCTTAGTAAATATTTGCCAAAACTTCATTTCATCTAAACAAAGTTTTGGGTCAAAAGCAGCTCACACTCCTGAAGTTCTTGTTCAGCTGCTTGTCAGGATACATCTGATACTGAGGCAGGTTATATGCTTATAATGCTGACCTGACTTCCAGATTATATGTGTTCTCTCTCTGGTAGCCTGGAGCTCTTTATGTAGACCAGGCTGACCTCAAATTCAAGGAGAAATCCACCTCGCTCATCAGTGTTGGAATTAAAGGTGTATGCCACCACACCTGGTTTATTTGTTACTTTTGCAGGTATTTTATTTACATAGTATTTGTATACTTTCATGATTTTATATTTTTTTTAGGTATTCCAATCTTTAAATCTAACATAGTCACAAATGTCTTGGCTGTGCTTGGCTTACCTCCTGACACCACACACTATTCTTCTGACCTAAATGTCAAAAACTCCACCCTTGACTTCTGTTTACAAGAGTAACATGCAGTGGAAATGTTTCATTTTGGCTAAAGTATATAGAGAAAACACCATATCAGAATTTGAGAAATGGTTTCTTAATGATGATGCCAGGTGAAACAATAACTTTCTATATTCTATAATACGGATGAGTTTATTTTACATCTCAGTTCACTTCTTATCTGGGCATGGCAAATTGTAGCATCAACATATTGGTCAGTTAGAAATAATGCTTCACAGACATGATCCAGACTTCCAGTGTTAACATATGTATGAGTCACCCTTTTCCCTCTGGGAAAATTCTTGCAAAACAAAACAAAACAAAACAAAACAAAAAACTACAGAAGCTAAGATTTCCTTTGACTTGAAACTTCAAGTCCATGATTGCTGGACTCCACCACTCTTGGGGCATATCATACAGTATGTGATGGAGCAAAGCTGCTCATGGGTACCAGGAAGCAGACAGAGTGAGAAGTAGAGTCCAGGGGTAAGGCAATCCCCTCAAAGGCGTGCTCCCTGTGATCCAGTTCCTTCAAGAAGGACCCACATCATCACAATCTATAAACTCATCAGTAGATTAACCCACGAAGAGGTCAGAGCCCTCAGGAACCAATCACCTCTCGACAGTACTACCATCTGGGGATCAATCCTGCAAGACACACCCTTGACATAGATAGCACAACAACAGGTTTGTGTCAGTCAGACGTGCCGCATTGTGACAATACATTTGTGTTCATGTTTTTAGTCTCTATCCATGGTTTGCCCAGCCCTGTTGCTTTGGGCGAGCATCATGGGAGGAAGTGTGTGATAGAACAAGTCTACTCATTTCCAGTCTGGGGCCTCAATATCCCATTCAAGAGCACAAACCACTGATTGAATATCCTCCATCTAAGGTTCATCTCCTGAAATATCTACCACCTCTCAAGAGTATCTCATGCTGTGGATCAAAGCTTCAACACACATGCTTTGGCGATCCAGTTACCATCCCAACTACACAGTGTGTCATTACATAATATATTTATATTATATTTGCAAGTAGTACTACCAATCTCAGGAGAAAAGTCTATCAGGATACTATTGTGTTAGATGCAAATTTCCCAGCTTCCAAATTGTACCTTCAATGTTTAAATTTATGATTGGCGGCAAATACTATCCCTTTATTTTCTATGAAATGACAGATTTGCTTTATTCATTTTAAATAAAGTATCTGCCAAATATCCAAGTCTACATTACCATAGTTTCTCTATCAGCTGCTGTTCCAGGTTAAAAGAAAAGATATTGTAGCTTTCTTAGATTATGCTTGGAGTTTCTTAATCGTATTTCCCAAGCTAGGAATGGTCATGGTAGGCTTAAGGAACTGAACAGAGTTCATTATGGCCTGGGTGGAGTGGGTAAAGTGGGAAGGATGAGGCGAGGATAAAGAAATAAGAAGAGAAGGAATTTGAAGCCTTAAATAGAAGAGAAGGGACTGGAGAGGTGGTTCAATGGTTAAGAGGACTGGCTGCTCTTCCAGAGGACCCAGGTTCAATTCCCAGCACCCACATGATAGCTCATAACTATCTGCAACTCCAGTTCCAGGGACTCTAACACCGTCACAGACAATTCACCTAAAGTAAAAATAAATTATCATCATCATCATTATTACTATTGGTAGTGTTTTTCCAGACAGTGTTTCTCTGTAGCCTTGTCTGTTCTGGAACTCACTCCGTGGACCAGGCTGGCCTCAAACTCACAGAGATCTGCCTGCCTCTGCCTCCCAAGTGCTAGGATCAAAGGCATGCACCACTACACCCAGATAAATAAATTATTTAAGCAATAAAAACAGATGAGAGACTATTTTATTTGGGGGTGGGTAATCATGGAAGGATTTTTAAACAGGCTGAGTAACTAAATCACAGCTACATTTCTCCTTCTCTTTCTCACTCTCTCTATCGCCCGTGTGTATGTGTGTGTGTGTGTGTGTGTGTGTGTGTGTGTGTGTGTGTGTGTGT